GTCAAACCATCCACAGGCAATAAAAAAAGGATAGTTTCTTGTCTGTAAAACTATATATATATATAAACCAAACCATGCACCTTCATAGCCAATAATTATCTAGCATACTTCATCAAAAGAAGTTCATATCACCATGTCCCTAAACAAATCAAACAAGCCAGAATAAACATACCATTTATTCCAAAAATAAACTATAGTATTAAGAAAACCTGCAGAAAATTATAGGATCATGTGAAGCAACTTAGTTTTCAACTGAGCAACAAAGTTTGTGCTCTTGTGGAGCTTTAATGACACCTAAAAGGAATGTAAGGATTTATGATTATTACTAAGTAATTCAAATACTATCATTATGTTTGTTGTTAAACACAATATGCCCATCATAACTCCATGTAACAGTATATGTTCATTTTGTAAAATGTGAGAATAACCATTTTTTCAGTCAACTCATGAGAATGGTACATTAATGTAATCAATTAATATATTTAATGATTAATTGATTAGCAAATTTCACTAATCATCCAGCTGTGTTTAAAATATAAACAGCTGTAAAAATCACATATAAAAACAACTTTCAAGTAACTATCTATGACTATATTAACGAAGGTACTTACCAAGCAACTGCTGATGAAACAACACAAAGTATTTCTGAAGATACTTTTATACCAATTATGGATAAGGTCAATTTAAAACAGTAACACATATATATACTTCAATATTGTGTGTCCTGATGTAAATCAGCGTAGTAAAGTGTTACGAATACAAGTTAACTTTTTCTACCAAATTAATGGCAGAAAGTCCAGGAAACGTAAACAGCGAGTGGAAACAAGTGAAAGACATAACATTTTTTAATGACATTGATTATTAAGACAAATTATGTTAACAGTTGTTACAACAATATTATATTATTCCTTATTCCAAACAATTACTAAAACTGAGAATACAAGTGTAAGATACAAACAACATCACATGTGAAAAAGTAGAAACAAAGCAGTAGTAAAGGTAGACTAAGAAAATATTCTGTGATGAGAAGAATGTGTGTTTCATAGCGTGAACATATTGCTGTTACAATTATAAGTTGACAAATAAACAGTAAAACGTTAGAGATGATACACTGATGGGCTAACCCATTAAAACCTACACCTTTATCAACATGGACCACCTACAGCAAAATAATAGACTAACTTCGGAATAGTAGAAGGTGCCTTTTATCAACTATATAATATGTAATTGGTTCACTGGTATTGAAGAGGATTAGGATGACACGTGTAACATTTCAGTCTGTCCCGAAGATTTTCAATTGGATTGAAATCCAACGATGGTGCTGGTCCAGAAGAGTGATTGAATTCATAATTATGTTCTAACAATACCGCCAATATGAATTATCATTTTAAGAGAACTCTTTCCATCATATTGCAAGTTGCATACAAACAGCAAAAACATTAAGGTACATTCTGGATGTTAATTGCTTTTCTAAAGGAGTCAAATCATTCAGTATCTGCCCTGAGAATTTTCCTCACTTTATTATACACCTTGAGTCAGTAGCTGACAATGTGAAAATAAACACAAGTAGGGTGAAGTGTTTCATTTGTTTTCTTCACACGTTTACTCTTACCATGAGTACAGAAAAGGATGAAATACCATGGTAGATACTTCCAGTCTGTATCCACAATCTGTATTTTTAGCATCAGTAAATCCATGCTTTTCTGTCTACACCAATGTAAGTAATGTTTGGACTGGATGTCATAAAAGATTTTTATAATATTATTGAAATAGTCAAATCAAAACCACTTGAGAGAATCCATTCAATTGGGAGACAGTATGAAATTTGTTATACTTTACAACTGATCCTTGTCTTTCAACTTAATCAGTGAGCAGAAGTTGATAGCCCCAGTTTTTATTCAAGAAAGATTATTGTTATTTTTTAATTACTGCTGTCAATAGTATCTGATCACACGTGTCCTTGAACACCGAAAGTAATGATTTTTCATGATGATGCTTTTTTGGCTAGACAAGTGCCCCTATCATGCCCCTTTGAAAGTTTGAAAGATCCTTGTTTTTAGCTATTGTCTTGGATGCTAACTATGATTTGATTATATTTGCATGTTTAAACCCCACCAAATCTCTTGAAACACCAAAAGATCTGTCACTTCTGCATGTGCTGATAAATTAAGTGGTTATACGTAAGTGTAGGGGGAGGGGTATTAATAAAAAAAAAGGTTAGTCAGTGTACAGGCAAAAATGTACAGATGTGATAATGTATGTTCAACATCTTTTCATACTAAAGCACACTAATATAATATAATTTACACATGTGAAAGTGACAATGTGAGCAAACAGAAAAACAAGACTATAACATATACAAATATCAATACTTAGGGATATAGATGAATAATACTGTTGATATTATGCAATAGTAAGAGTTGACCAATAAACAGAAGGTGTGCAAATACAAAGTTATGAATATCTGATAGTGTTAATGTATTAGTTATACACGAAGGTTCATTAATAAACAGTAAATATGTAACTATCTGTGATACAGTGAACTAAAGTTTTAAAATTTTTAGCTACAGGTATTCGTACATGATAGTGCATACATAAGGGGTATATAAGTGTAATAGTGTATACAAGGGATAAGTAGGTATATGCATAATACTGTAAAGTGAGGTATAAATTGTATAGTGCTATGAAAACAATGTAACAAAATCTCAAACAGCACTGAATAGGCTTTACTTTTTCTTTTATGGTTAGAAGAACTACTTTTGTCTAAGGAGACATTTCTTTAAAGTACATCAAAAAGAAGAATAATACATGTATTGATTCATTTTTGAACAATAAAGAAATGACAATTAATATATCAAATTCCATGTAACCAATCTTCTTACTCCTGTCCTTGTGATGACTTACACTTTTACAGAATGCATAACATTTTGACTAGTCTAACAATATCATAAAGAACTAAAATAATTAAAAATCATATATTAACGTATCTTTATACCAACTCGGTAGTTTGGAGAAATCTTAAAAATGTGATTCAGCACATTCACATAATCAGCCAAACAACACAAATTACATAAAGCAAGTTGAACAATTCAGTTATGATTGTTCATGTCCTCCTATAATTGCATGAAAATGCTTTTTCTTGCTGTTTTATTAATTTTTAGGCTCATCTCCCGAGGACCGTCTTTCATCAGCATTCTTCTTGGAATCCTGTGAATCACCACCTGGAGATAGAAAAATGTATATAGATGCAGAACGCATTCGAAACGCGTTGGCCAACTCA